CAGAAGTGTGTGTAACTCTCATTGGTGTATTCTGTTTGAACTGGCAAGAACTCATACGGTAAAGGCAGCTCCTGCACTGTTATGAATATACCACCTAGTAATTTTCTCTTGAAATATGCTTGAGTGATTTTTTTTACCAGCTAAAAAGTGAAAATTGCTGGGTTTCCTACTTTCTGCATGAAAATACTGTAGAGAGCATGGACATATAAAAAATATTAACTCCAAATAATGGTGTGGTCTTTATTCCTGTGTGTTTCTGAAATAAGATAGAGACTAGAAGCTCATAAGGATTCATTGTAAAAACTGAGACATCACTTCTTTAAAAAAACTGCTGCTATTGTTCACTTAAAAATGTCATGCCAATTAGGAGCTTCCTTATTCTCTTAAAATTGTTAAGTATTTGAAGTGGTGAAAAAAATAAATTCTCTCTCTTTATTAAATTTTTATATCTAATTCTTCAAAGTAGGCCAAAGAGGAAGATAGACTTAAGCTTCCCCACAGTTCTTGAATGAGCATTTCGATCTGAGTAAAGGGTCACCGCTCATCTTCTAAGAGTAATGGTTCTTCTTCTTTTTCATTGACGTGGTGTTTTAAACCCATCTCTAGGTGTGCAACCTATTTCATCCATGCAACACAAAGAATCATGACAAACAGCTCTTTACCAGTGTGCAACCAAGACATTTTCTCCATGAAGGATTTTAAAGTTCATTTTCAAATTTAATTCAGGAAATTTTATCTAAGTTGATCATACTCTGGTAGATCACTACAACATTTTTCTTCTCTAAAAAACAATCAAACAAAAAAGAAGTCTCCATAACAAACCCATTCCTAAAAAACTGATTATTAAAACAGTATTAATTTTTGCCTTGCTTCTTCAGACCCTGATTTCAGTGCTTACTTCATCACACTTTAACCTTCATCTATTTTAAAAATGTTATATACAAAGTTGTATGTTCCTTAGCAATTGCAGGTATACCATAGTTTTTAAAGCCTGGCACGAAGACCTTATTTCTTCCTTTCTGGTACTGCAGCCTAGAAGTGAAAACTCCAGGCCATTCATCAATGTCTTCCTACCGTAGGAATAAGCAGTCCCAAATCACATCTCCCATTTTTGCCAGTTCCATCTCATTCCCATCACTGTCAGAATTATTTTCACCTTCTGCTCCTTTCAGGTTTTAAATCCTCTCTTCACTGTATTAATACAGATTGATTTTTATTTTGAACATCTACATTGGCATAAAAATGCCATAAGATGATTTAGTTCAAGGATTGCTCTGCTTATCATCAGGATTCTCTGCAAATTGTTTTCAGTAAATTTGACTATGTCACTGAAAAGAACATCTAAGAAATATTTTTTATAACTATTTTGGTTTGCTTCTTCATTATAAACTGTATAAATTATTCAGAAATATGGTTCTGTTATATAACTGTACATATGTATAGAATCCAGGTCCTTAACTTAAACGAGTACTACTGATTTCTGTCCAGAAAAAGCCTAACAAATTCTGTAGAGATATCTACTCTTCTTGCAGTGTAGAAATTGTACACCTTTTACCTTTTGAGTAGTCAGGCTCTGATAGCATTGATTAGTTGTTCTTTTCTGTTACAAAAGGTACACAGAAACCTGCACAACAGGTTGTGGGAGCTTGTTTCACTCACGGCTTTGTTTGATTACAATTTTTGGGATTGATCGGGAACTTGAAGCTTTTACTGAGAAAGGCCAGCTCCTGTATTCAGTCTTCTCAGTGTTGATTGTGGAGTGTGCTAAGCACTACAACGCTTACCACTTACACAGATGTGGACAGTTGTTGAAATACCACACAGCTTCCAAAGGCTTAGTACCTCGTACCCAGCCTTACTTCCCCATTTTATTTTGATACGTTGTCACTGTGTCTATCTTTAAATCATCATTATATGTTGTTACCTCACTATTTAAAAGCTGTGAATGTTGGTTCTGAGATATTAATTCAAACAAGTCAAAGCTACCCTGCCAAGTTTGACTTTTCTGTTTCAAGTTCATAATTTTTGTAATAAAACTTTGTCAGAAAGGATGTAATACCCAGTATCTAGGTATTTAAACTCAGAACAGAAAATAAAATTTTATCTCTATATATTCTAAAATAAAGACAGACTGGTAAAATCGTGCTGTTCACTTTCACTGTCAAAGACTATAATGAGGAAATAATTTACTTACATTCCTTCTTGCACAGCGAAGATCATTATGTGAACACAGCTTTCAGAAACTTCTGTGAAGTAAATGCTACTATACGTATTTTACAAGTAGGGAAGCTGAGTCAGAGAAAGGTTCTCATGGCTTAGGCATGACTGCATACAAATTTACAGCAGTGCTAAGATTAAGGCAGAAGAGTCAGTAACTATCAGGTATTGGCCCGGTAGACTAGAACACACTCCCAGGACACATTCTTTGTACATCGCAGAAATTCTTTTTGTGAACTGCAGTGCTGTAATTATGCACAGAGCACTTTAGGACAAAAAAACACCAATTTTTGGCTCAATGGGTTTACATGCAGCTTCAGAAGCTTGCTCTCACTACCAATAATACTCATTCAAACAGACATCTACTCAGGCCCTGATTCTCTCTTAGGCCACTTTGTACTGTTTGGACAGTAGTGGACCAGATAATCAAGCCCTTATAGTATAGCATAAGGACTAGTTCTTATAGCAGCCTCAGAGACCCTTACTAACTTCAGTGAGGCTTTGTACTAGTGCAGAAATTAATTCATGTCGAACTAATTGCAGGACTGTGGCCTAAGTAAGAAACTGGTCTAGCTCTGTTTGCTTGTTATCAAGTTGTCAAAAGGTAGTGCTCATTAAGTGCAGAAACAAAGGGTCCAGATGGATTCTTTATATCTGAGAACGTGTTTCCCGTATAAAAACAAAATAATCAGTAACACTGCAGTGGAATTTAAAACCTTCTGGAAAAGAAGCAAAACTAAAGCAGATCTTTAAATGAAGAATAATTCATAGGCCCTTCCTCTTTGCAGTTTATGATCTACTTTTACATAAAAAAATCATTTATGCAAAATGCACTTTGATTACCTGAGTCTACACAACGTGAATGAGACTAAAACTAATGCCTTCTAGTCCCACTGCTCTCTTCCATGCTGTGAAGACCATGCTTGATTCTGATCGTGCTCTACTCTGTGACACTGAGATTTTTTGTGCTACACAAGACATTTCTGGACTCCTCTAACTTAATCTACCTGCTGAAGTCCCAAACAGCATGGTCAGACAAGGGTCACTAACATGAGACTTATAGCTGTTTCCTTATGTCCGCAGATGGCAATAAGCTAGTGTAGGAGGCAAAACAGCATATTTTAGCTAGTAAAATTTGGCATGAAGATATTATCTGCTGTACAGATGCACCAATCTAAAATCTGATTTAAAAAAACCCAAACCACAAAGTGATTAAGAATTGGAACTAGAAGTTTCCATAAGTGTTCAATGTTACAGCATTTTCAGGACACATCCAAGTTCTAACACGATCTAGAAGTGAGCTTGAATGCTCTGCTGCCTAACATCGCTGAGGATACAGATTCATGAAAAGTTTTAGGAAACTTGAGTATCATCAAAAAGGGCAGTCCCACTCTTCTCCAAGGCACATTCCTACCTATTCCTTCATGAAGGTACCAACACTTGGCAACCATGCACACAAATTACCGCAAGGAATTGACCTGGCTGAAAATTAACCCAGTAAAATAAATACTTTTTACATCAGGATAAATTCTCTGATCCAACTTTCTATACAGCCACAATTAGCACAAATGCCAGTACTAGACAGTGGGGAAGAACATAGAGTCAGGAATGGAAAGGATATGTAGTTGAGTTTCACCATCTGTATGGTTAAGTAGTGTTCCAGATCCTGGCTGGATATAAAAAACCTACATGAGACAGGCACCAAACCATTTGACATTCAGTAAATTGTAACCAGTTCACAGAATCACAGAATCACAGAATGGTAGGGGTGGGAAGGGACCTCTGTGGGTCGTCTAGTCCACCCCTCCTGCCGAAGCACGGTCACCTACAGCAGGCTGCACAGGACCTTGTCCAGGCGGGTCTTGAATATCTCCAGAGAAGGAGACTCCACAACCTCAATGTGTGTCAATTAACACAACCTCAGCTGTGTCAATTAACTAAATAGTTAACCAAATAATCAAATAAAGCAGTTGGTGCCAAGTACAGAACAGGCTCTACGAAGCTCTAGCTGAGAAGTTTAGGTTCCCATGTCAGCCCATCTGTGGCTTCCATCTGTAAATATATCTCAATCACCATTTATCTGTTCCCAGAAAGATAAATGGATCAGGGCACTCCCTTACCCCACTCCCTCAGGCATTGAAACCCACCACTTAATGATCCAGTAAGACCTTTCACCCCTGATTAGCTGTTTCTTTGCAAGTGCCTGTGTTTCTGAAGGCAGGCCCATGTAAAGCTACTTACCCTCTGATGTTGTTTTGATGTGTAAAGACCTAACCATAAGCGGATTCTCAAATACATCTGGATTCTCAAATACGTCTGTCCAGGTTATCTCATTCAATCTGAAGCACATCTACACTATCAGGCCCCACAGAGTTAACAGACATAGACAAGACTTCTGAAGGTTGGCAGCTAGTATGTGTATGCGTTGCAGCTATGGTTACACTCAAAATCCCAGTAGTCAAAGCACTTGGCTACAGCAGCAAGGGCTCTTTGCTTTTCATTAATGCAAAAGATGTGCCGTTTGCATTAATTCCGATTTTAAAAAGTGGCAGCATGAATAACCTTCAGAATCCGCTACAATGAAAAATAATTTAATGGCTTCAGTAGGCCTGCTCGTGCTAGTGGTTGATATTTGAGAGAGCAAATCAGGAGTGCAATCTGGGACATGATAAAAACTGCATGTTACAATCATATACATCAAGTAAGTACTATACAGATATTCATGTTCAGATGTTACTATTACTTTAGAAGAGTAAGTCATGATATCTTTTCTGTTTCTTCAGGTGTAATCATTGGATTTTCTCTCCGATCATATAAGATGAGCTATCGGGAAGTCAAATACTTTTCATTTCCAGGAGAACTACTCATGAGAATGCTGCAAATGCTGGTCCTGCCACTAATTGTATCCAGTTTAGTCACAGGTAAAAAAAGAAACAGGTTTTTCTTTTTGTTCTTTTAAATAATTTGTTAAAGATGCACATGTCAAATCATAGAAAATGAACATTTCTTGTCCTGGAAGTGTTACAACCTGCAGAAAGTGATAATTTTGGTATTGCTGTTTTAGAGAGAATGTAACCAAAGATTTGAATTAATATACAAAGAAACTAAAGATACTTTTCCCAATTCCAAGACAATCTAACTGTACAAGTTACCATATGTAGCTGTTATGAAACTGACTCTGTACTCCACTTTCTTCTCTTACTTTCTGAACAGCTGTATTCCTCTACAATGTCCTGTTGTTATCAAAGATCATGTATTTCAGAAAAATAGTTCCAAGACCAAAGAAAGTTTAAAATATTGATCATGGGCAATAATCCGTGCCTGTAAACCCAGATCTGTAAAACGTCTGTCTACCTCCTAATATTTTAGCAACAGATTAGAAACAGTAGGTGACACATGGGACAGATTGGATACTTTGGAAGGAACTCCATTCCATCAGTTCCGATTTGCTATCTTCTGGTCAGCAACTCTGTTAAGTTTCAAGCCCTCTTTACTAAGTTGTTCCTTCAGCTAGAGATATAATAATTAATTTCTTATGATGGTGTATGTCTTATCATTCCATCTAAGTCTCATGGAAGAGCTCTCTGATTTTTTATGAATGTTCAGGGTGTACCTATGATGTATTTACCCTATGAATTATCCGAAGAAAAGAAAGCGTGGACTTTGGTCTATCCTCAAATCAGTGGCACATCTTGGACAACTTGATCAAAATCACCTAGACCTAGTATCTAAACACGTACTACACTACCTTAATTGTCAAAGGATCCGGAGTGTATTAGCTGTTCTCTATTTTACTGATTTTCATATATTTTTTTAATGAAGATCTCCTCTTACAAATGCAAATGATCATAGACTCCATCTTCACAGATACCAAAGATAGCATGTATGTATATAAGCTGTTAATACCACAGCAGAAAACTAGACTATTCACAGTTACAAAATCATTTGCCTTCTCATATTTCAAGGATAAAGTAAAGCTTGTTTCTATACACACATATTATATGGATACTGAAAGCTTAATGCCCACTGAAATGAGAGAGAAATTTATAAATCTTGTAGGGGAACCAATGACAGATTTTATTCCCAACCAGTGTATAATTCTGTTACATGTCATATCTCCTTGCTGTCTTCTTGTCCCTTTCACCTGCAGAATGCCCCAGGTTGGCTAGACACTGATAGAGCCATTAAAAGTAGAAAAGGAGAGGCATCTACCCTTCTTCAGTGTCAGCTATGACAGGCACTGCTGCTTCGTTTTGTGGGATGAGTTATTGCAGGAGAAATAACCTGCTCAGTTCTTTGTACCTCTACATCCATATTGATTCTCTGAGATAGCTCAAGGTAAAACAGGACATTAGGTAGGTCATCCTATACAAGTCGTTGAATTCACTTTCAAAATTCTAAGCAGAAACCTTTTGTTCAGAGGAAGATGAGGAAATGCACCTCAGAGAGTCATACGTGTCACAAGGAGCTGGCCTTGTGATAAAGCAAGCTCATTTGCTGTATCACCAGGTCTCAGAGATTTTGTGAAATACCAGAACAATGAGTTTCCAACTAATTCTAATGTCCAAAGAATTTTCCGTGTCTGGATTCAAACAACATACTTCTTTTTGATAGCTTTTTTTTCTTTTAAATTCTTTGGAGCCCTTTATCCTTTTTTATGTTCTTTTCTCATAGCAATAATTTCCTTTATTACATAAAGGCTTTTGGCAAAGAGAAATCTTATCTATCAGTAAGATTTGTCTTCTTATCATACAAATGCCTTGCAATATTAAGTGGATTATTCTTAGAGTTTCCCTTTAAAGTAGAGGTGGTGATTTTCAAGGTGAATAACAACATTTTAAACTTCTTTGGTTGGGCAGGCAACTATCAGAGAAAACTCTGCAATTCACAAATGACAGCTTTCATTCTTTTTAAAAAAACATCAAATAGAACAGGACAATGTCTTTTTTTCATGGGATTAAAAGACATTTCCCAGTTTATTGCTAATAACTGTGGAAAATCTGTCTTCTACACTGACCAATACCTCATTTAGCTTAATTTTTTTTTTTTTAAGATGCTCCTACATGTTTACTGCAGAATCTCATCTCAAGTAATTATACAGGTATTATTATCCTCAGAAAGATTCCTCCAGGCTCATGCACACTTATAATCTTATTACTTCTTCCAGCTGTAAATTATCTAAATAAATATTTTTGCTGTTTGTAGGCATGACAGTGTCTCTCAGATATGATGTTCTGGGTTTCCATTTGTATTTATGTAAATGTGCTCAATATAACTGGTTATGACAATATTGAAACGTAAGCTCCTCGAGGTATTAGCAATGTGCTGGGGATAATTACACTGTTTCACAGATTTTGTGAATGTCAAAGTAATTAGAACAATAAAAACAAAGTAATAATTATAGAAGCTATGGGCTTTATGTAAGTGAAAGATAAATTGATAAACTGGACTACTGCTATATGGGTAAAAAGTTCTGTTGGTTATTCACAAGCCCTTGGGAAAGTAAACTGTAAAAAGTGATGTCAACCCAGTCACATTTCTCTATAGTCTGTTTTTGTGTTTTCATGAAATAAACAATGCAGAATCACATTCAGACAATTTTACTCACATTTGCCTTATGACTTACCACTCTTGCATGTGGCTCAAGCAGCTATGCAGTTTTCTCCATGATTGTATCTTCTGATGCGTATGTTACCAGACATGTATCAACATCTGCTTGGGAGAAAATGGAGGTTATTTGCATACTTTTCACCATCTTTTGCTGTTTATAGGAAAACATAATTATATTAATATCTGTATTCTTAATCTTTTGTGGTTTAGACACAAATCCAACTGCATACTCTATGCTGGTCTTTACTCTCTGCAGTCTTTCAAATGGGAGAACTCCTAAGTCAGCATTCCCAATCAGTATCTCTTACAAAGTCAAAGGCAAAATTAAAGCACATTATACAGGAGGCAGCATAGATAAACAAAGAAATAGGTGAAGTTCCCATGTGGATTATTTTGTGGCCAAGTCTGGCCCAAATTCTTATACAAAGACAGGGCTGACAATTTTGCTCCATTTCTGTTTTGAATTTGCTGCCATTACGGGAGTCAAAGTATTTTATACCTTCTTATTTCCTTATAAGATGAAGCACTTGACATAAACAAATTTCTGAACATAGTTTTTTTAAAATATGCGTTGTGCCTAAAATATACACATATGATAACAATTAAACTTGTCATGAAATAGGTAAAGACTGCAAGATTTGCACTAGCGTTAAGAGCACTATACATTAACATTTTTTGAGCTGTCACTGCAAGATCATAATGAAATTGAAATTCCAGCCCTTAAAACTGGCCCACAAGTTTTATCTGAGTGTTTGAATTATTCACTGACTTATAAGGGCATCAGAACAAGGTACCTTTTCATAACCAAACCATATCTGTCCTGAAATCACATTCAGAAAAATGATTCATGATCAGTCTTAATAAAAAACATAGTGGGATCATAACATATGTGACACGTATTAAAGCTAGGGGTATTTTATAAGGGTTATTTGCAAATATTTTGCACAATTTTGGTCACAGCTCAGTATAATAGACAGGCTGCTTCTCCTTCCCCAAAATTTTGGAAGCTTGGAATTTGGTAGTACAGGGACCACTACTTTTAAATGCAAGAAAACTAGTATTAGATTCTGTGCATTTCTTTCAAATATCTTTGTGTGGTCAAGTAGAGCAAAGCATAAAAAACCCAGTGAAGATCTGAGACAAGTTTTTATTGCACATTGCAGGAACAGAAGAATTTTTTTACCAACATAAATCAAGCTGGAGAAAGAGAAAGGGAATGTAGAAACAGTGAAATACCAAGGTCCCTTGCTTAACAAAGATTATACAGCAGGTCAGCAATAACATAATCAAGCAAAGATCCTGATCCTGATCATGATGATCACTAGATGATAATGCTTATCCAAACTGTTAATGGGGCTAGCACTAGTGTGGTGCAAATGGATCTTAATCACAGACCAGGATTTTGTGTGTAAGATTCTGTACAAACACAAGGAAAAACACCGTGTATCTTCTTACACAAAAGACGGCTGCATAGTAAGAACGGTTTAGAAGACAGAGCATGGAATGTTTACCTCAAAGAAGACAAACATATTAATATGTAGTCTGTAGTGTGTCTTTGTTTATATTCCCTCCCCTTTCTAATTCAAATAACAACATGACAGTCTTTCATGGATTCTACAAGATACAGAAGCTTCCCTGCCTCTGATGCAGCCTTTCAGTAACTGACTGCAACACTGATAACTGCAGGAGACACAAGAGACTTTCCTTCGGGCAGGCTCAGAGACATAAGGTTTTCTCCCCAGACTTACCCAACATGTTCATAGTATTTGCCACTACAAAAACTATAGATAGCATGAACAAAGCATAGAAAACTGTAATTTCGATGTGTGGATGCCTCTTAACTAACCTCGGATGTATGGATCACGCTTTTGATTTCAGCTATCAAAGGAGGGCAGTGAATGGTGACAATGTTAAAAAGCAGTACTAAGGAACGTGGTCTGTCTCCTCACTGAGATAAAAACAAAGGCACATAGAGTGACTCAAGTAATAAAGCAAAACACAAGTAGAGATCACAATTAACAGCCACGTTGCAGATGCAGTTACTTGAAATTATCTATAATGAAACAAGGTTAATACTCAAAGAAGCAACTGTACTTGAAATTGTCTTCAAGACACTCCCTTACTTAAGTCAGGAAAAACACAGCATCTGGATGTGAACAGATTCAACTGCTGAAAAGACAGATTTTGCCCAAAGCAACTTATCAATGTAAACTGTGGAAAACTAATGCTGTGACATGCCGTGTAACCTCAGGCAAATCCTGTTTCCCTTTTGTATCTCTGCTTTCTTCCTCCTTTCAGATGTAATGCTGGT